TTTCCTGAATCATTGTAATCATTTGTTTGAACAGACAAGTGTTTGTAGTATATGCGCAGACTTACTGATGAGCAGCATTGATTACCCTCATGCCCTGCTCAACTCATCTACCGCTACATGAACAGTTCAGCACCATGAGAGGGGGAAAAGAGTCACAGCAGGGTCTGGCTTAATCGATAATCCCAGTCAAACCCTAGGCACTGCATCTGTAATCTCCCTTATGCGATACTAATTAACAGAAACCCAATCAAAAAAGGGAGAGCACAATTTAAAAGACTCCCTGAAACTATAGAGCATATTTTTCTCCAATGTCCGGGGTCAATCTGGCTTTGGAGATGGTGGGATAGAATCTGGAATCAAATAAATACTTCTTAATCCTGGCCTTGGGAATGGAAAACCCTCCTATTAGAATCATGGCATCCGGACCAAGGTGATGACTTCACAATCAACATGTTCATAATAGGTAGGAGAGCGATCATATAGGCGATCTGGACAAGAAGATGTACCTTTGAAATGGAGGGAGCACGGCTGGACGGGCCAGAATTTACTGAAACTATCAAACAGTAGGTTCAAAATGACTTAACTATCAAATGGGAACAAGTTAAAGAAAAAATTCAGCTTCTATCTGATCCAAAAGAGATTTGGGTTCACATTAATCAATTTAACAGAAGTTGGCTGGGAGGTGATCAGGGTGGGAGGCTGGGGAAAGTAATTTGGGAAGGGGGACACGTAAAAACCCAGGAATCCTTTTAAAAAAAAWTTCGGCTTGTCTTTAATGATTGGACTACCGTTGACTCCTCTATTCCTCTAAAGTCCATGGCTGAATTTCCTGATTTCTTCCCTCCCCCAAGTAATTGTATTGTGCCCCTTGCTTGGTTTGGATAGGTAGCTAGTAAAGTGCTTGGATTTCATGTTTACTTGGCGCCCATTAAGGGCGAAGAGGTGCTATGCTAGTTGACTTCCCTCTGTTGAGCATGGATATCAGATGAATAGAGCATTGACCAGTGGATAATTGTTTAACATTTTAGATTTGGCTCATTATGTTCTAAGCTGGTTCCCACTGGTTACCCCCGGGTAGACTGTGAGGACCCCGGCCTCAATCATCATTGATAATATCAGCCTTGGGCACTGGGCCCTTTTAAAAAAAAAAAAAAAAAAAAAAAAAAAAAAAAAAAAAAACAATTTAAAAGACAATTTGAATTCGTAGATGAATATAGAGTATAGGAAGAGTAAGCTAACACCCCTTTCCTGCCGTAATGCCGCGTGGCAAAGCCCAACAGAGCACAAGGGTAAAGCCTAGTGCCAGACCTTACTACACATCTCCCGACCTCCCCACATGGCGGAATAATCGAATTGCCAACAAGAGGTGAGTCAATCGAGTTTTATGAGCAAGATCTTACATGTAGCTATCCGACCCATCGAACCTAGTCAGTCTTAGTGACGTAGATAGATGACCTATCAAGCAGGCAAGTGGTCTTAGGCGGACAGACGAAAATTTCGTTTTCTAAACACAGCCCAGTGGCGACGAGTGGAAGGGCAATGAGCCCCCCACAGACCAGTCGCATCCTCCCCCTGGATCCCAATGTGCTCGGCAGCTCCCTCCTTGCCCATTGTAGCACTTTCTTCCCCTGCTCCTACGTTCCCTGGCTGTCACGCCACGTGGCACGACAGATCCCAGGAGAGGAGAGAAAATCAAAGCGCCGTCGCCCGCCAGGTTCCCTTGCCCTCCGCTCACACACCTCTCAAGTTTGAAAACACTCAGTGTGGTCCCCTTCTCGTCCCAAGCAGAGCCTACCCAAACACCACTTACCTTTGTGACCGTCTTTGCAGCCGGGCTTGATGATGATATCATCGCAGATTTTGATGGAGTAATCGTACTTGTTGAAATCGCCGTTGTCGATTTTGTCTTCGGTGTGATCGCCGATGTTGTTACCTGCATTGCTATCGTCAATGGTATCAGTGTACTCGTTGGATTGCCACGCTCCTCTGCGCCATGTGATATTGCCTTGATAGGCAGAGCAGCCGCGGTTATTGTAATCATTGTTGTTGTTGTTGATGTTGTCTTTGTTGTTGATGACACAGATTCCCTGATAGGATTGGAGACATCAGCCTCCAACCGAGTTTCAGTCACCAGCCTCTCCTTCAGTGCCGCACAAAAGTCTGCACCTTGATCGGAGGCCATGTTGCACCTGATTATCAGAGCATCAGCCCGCTGCCAGTCAACGAAAGCCTCCAGTGCCAGATCCTCCTTTTTTTTTCTTTTTTTTTCTTTTTTTTAAGAAATCAAATGCTCCAATCTATTCGTGGGGAGCAGCACGTGCTGGGAACCGGGCCCAGCGTCCCATATCGAATTGTACAGATCGTTAAGAACATTTGAGAACATTTGAGATCATTTGAGCTACCGGGGCCATTACCCGGCTTCGGCTGAGATCAGTATCTGAATATCTAGTGACCTATTAAGGAACTACTCATGCAGTAGGCTGCCACAGAGGTCCTACGAATGCTCACAACCCTCAGAATTCCTAACAAGCCCTTCTAAGACTTTCCAACACAGTCTTACTCCCTGCTGAGCTCTTCCAGGCCTCACACCCCCACCCTGCTGGGTTACAGGGCAGCACAACTCGCCCCAACTCCGACCACCGTCGTCCCAGCAGCAAACCTTGGCTGTCCCTTGGGTTTCCCACCCCAAAGCATCCCCAGATCTCTCTACCAGGCCTCACGCTCCTGCATCAGCAGGTTACAGGACAACACCCCAGCACCGGCCAGCGTCGTTCTGGCATCGAACAGCCGCTGATCACTGAGTATAACCGCTTCAAAACCGCCTAGGATGGGTTGCTAAGCGTCCCTAGAGTCGTAAGACATTCATAAGAACCACCTACACATCAGATAGGTGAAACCTATTCAATCCMCCTAYGACCACCACCAGCATGRYTRWTTTYAGCACGAACCGAAGCTCTTCCAGGCCTCATGCTCCCATCAGGTTAGGTTACAGAGTTGCACCACCTTGCTCCAGCACCGGCCAGCGTTGCTCTAGTTACGACCCCTGATGACCACTGAGACTGCCCGCACACAGCCCTCCAGAGCTCTCTACCAGGCCTCGCGCCCCCACTAAGCTAGGTTACAGAGTTGCGCCACCTGGCTCCGGCTCCGGCCAGCGTTGCTCCAGCGTCGGTCTTCGAGGGCCACCGAATTTTCAACCACCCTTCGCAGGATCACAGATGAATTGTCAGATAGCACCTATTCCTACAAATTCCTCGAGCGGCAAACCAAATGAAAAGAAATAGTAAACTTAATCTATATGGTAGACTTATTCAAAAAGGATCGGCCCCCCCTCCCCCTCCCCCTCCCACCTCAGCCCTACACTGCCTCCGCCGAGGTGAGTCACCCACTCTCCCTCGGCCCCAATATAGGACCAACCCTCTACCCCCCTTTCCCCAGGAGTCTGCCAGAGGATAGTTTCAAGTTGTTGGCACTTGTCCTCCAGCCATATGGCCAGGGCAGACCCCCCCAGTCCACCCCTGGCCCGACCTGAGCAACAGCAAGCAAGTCTTCGACAATCTGTTGCATGTGCTGTTGAGTGTCTTCCAATTCAGACAGCCACTCATCTGCCAGGCGTTGGAGATCCTCTGATGGAGCCATCACCTCCGGTACTGCCACGTGCGGTAATCCCTGCGCAAGAATGCCTTCGTCACGCCGACCATGCGATGCCCCCATCTCATCCACACCTCCACCTCCCTCGTCAGTCAAACCTAGTCGCCCCATCACTGGCTGACCTTGTAGCAGACTTCGATGATGACGTCAACGCCTTCCATCTTCCTCAGTAACTTCAAGGGTTCGGGTCCCAAGACCGTCGGGCCCGCCAGCCAGTTCGTTCCCTGTGCACTCACTCAAACGCCGATTTCCTTCCTCGCTGGAGGACCATGAAATATTGTTGGGGAGCAGCACCTGCTGGGAATCGGTTCCAGAGTCCCTTATACAGAACAGTTACTTTTGTTGCACAATTGATGGGAGTTAGTGATCAGTGTTCCTGCCAGCATTGATTGCCCCGCCAGGGCAGGGAATTAACTGAGCAGGTGGGGATTTGCTTGGTTTTAGTGAGCAGGTGAGATGGGCTCGGTTTCCTGGTGCCTCTTCTGCCCTGCTACTGGGTGCCTGATGTCTGTGTCTCCGAGCACCCCTGTTATCATGCCTTGTGGCACTATAAAAGCCTTGTCTCTCCTTGTCTCCCACCCTTGCTCGTTCCTTTCTAAAACCCAGGCCCTTCCTGCTCTAAAACCCTAAGCCCCAAGGCCCCCAGATTACCCCCTGTCTCTTCCTTCTCGGGTATCATCCTCTGCTTCCCTCCGTTTGTCCCGTCCTCTTTGTCCTCCTCCCAGCTGCGGCGTCCTCTCACTCATCGTCTCCCTGAGCTCCCTGCTTATTCTCCTCAATATCATTGAAGGCTCACCATACTCAAGGACAGGGGGGGGGAGAGCTCTGGGAAATCCAATGCCGGGGCGTAGCGGGATCGCTGGTCAACCTTTGTCCATTCCCGAAAGGCCCGGTGGTACCCCCTCGTAACTTTCCCCTGTGCATTCCCCTGGTTCCTGTCTCATTCCACTTTCCCCAGCCACCCCCCTTGCCCCCCTCCAAGCCAGTTCTTGTTGGATCTTTGGATTAGGGTTTGAATATCTGAGTTTGAGTGTAGGAGGTCCAGTGCAGCTTTCTGCACCTCCCATTTTGTGGTGATGTCGATTTGAACATGTTGCTTAATTGTGTCAGTGAAGTCTGGCCCTTCTAGCCTCTCACTCCTTCCATCTCAAAGGTGCAGTGTGACACTCGTTATCTGTGTTGCACTGATAATTTCCTTAGCAAGTATGTTGTGATGTAATTATAGGCTGTGGCACAGTGGTAGGAGGTTGACTCTGATGAGAGTGAAGGGTGTCTAGCCCCACCTGGTCGGCAAGTCTGGCACTGACAATTTTGTTTGCACAATGTAATGATGTGATATGGTGTTACAGGGTTGGTGATGGAAGTCAAGAGTATTGGCCACTCCCAATTCGTCCCCCAGGAGGACCAACAGGAGAATACCAACCCCTTCCTGGGCTTCAAGAGATTTTTTGGAGGCATCTCGATTTTGCAAGGACGCTCGTCTCAAATTCCCCATACTATTACTTGTATGTGAACCCCCCGGTCGCTGGACCACCACCGATTCCTAGTCCAGAGTACAATGCGGCATATCAGGAAATAAAGGCTCGCGGGTCGAATGAGACAATTCGAACACCAGAGCAACAGGCAATTATTGACTTCTTTGCGGCACGTAAGTAATCATCTTACACAAAGAGATCATCAACATCCCATTTTCTTTTTTTTTGTTTAACACTGCCCCAATATATTTGTGAGGAGCAACACGTGCTCGGAGCTGGGCCCAGCATCGCGCATGAAAAATATACAGACAATACCAGCACCATTACCCGTCATCATCATCTCTCCCGTGCACTGGTAAGGCATTTTTGTTTACTGGAAACCAGCACACAGCTCGTTGACAGCAGGTGTCACCTTAATTCTAGAAATCAGCATGCATCTACACAAAGGCATGAGACTCATCATCATCATGGTAGTTTTTTTTTAACCCTTCAAAGGAAGGTAAGACAACAGCACAATGTGCGATTACTCAGACGTGACACCATTCATATTCAAGGGACACATCTAGTGTCATTTCGTCAAAATGGACATTTTTTAATTTTTTGAACGAAATTGAAACCGAGTTTTTAAGCTGAAAACTCGTCCAAATTTGTCGCTCCTGAGGGTCCAGCGTTCTTAAAACGCTGGACCCCCTGGATGTATGTGGACTTCTCTTGAGACCAGATACATCCAGGGGGTCCAGCGTTTTAAGAACGCTGGACCCTCAGGAGCAGCAAATTTGGATGAGTTTTCGGCCAGAAAACTTGGTTTCAATTTCGTTAAAGAAATAAAAAATGTCCATTTTGACGAAATGGCTGAGCGGGATGAAGGATAGAAGATGAGGAGTGAAGGAAGCCAACACAATGAATACTCCCGAACGCAACCCTGATAGGTCTTTTCGAAAGATAAAACAGTACGAAAACCGATCGTAAGCGGCATCATGCAAAACTATCGGCAGTTTCCTGCCAATCCTACGTAATCAGCACGGAGCTCATTGACAGCATACAGCTGCACCTTACTTCCACAAAGTCATGCTTTATTTACGGACAGTCAACAACAGGCAAATGCTGAGAGACTCCCATATACCGAATACGTCATCATGTACGAGCTGTGCAAAGCCATGATCATGACAACCAGGTGCTGTTGAAGCATTTTTGTTTTTCTAGAATGGTTATAGAAGGAATAAAGCACTCGTGGGAGCCAAGGGACAACCAAGGGTTGCTGCTGGGATGACGCTGTTCGGAGCTGGGGCGAGTTGTGTTGTCCTGTAACCCAGCAGGGTGGGGGCGTGAGGCCTGGAAGAGCTCAGCAGGGAGTAAGATGGTGTTGGAAAGTCTTAGAAGGGTTTGTTAGGGATCCTGAGGGTTGTGAGCATTGGTAGGACCTCTGTGGCAGGCTATTGCATGAGTAGTTCCCTAATAGGTCATTAGATATTCATGATCCTCCCCATGTTTCTGAATCACATCGTGTTCACAGATTGTTCTCAGCCGAAGCCGGGTAATGGCCCCGGTATCTCAAATGATCTCAAATGATCTCAAATGATCTCAAATGATCTCAAATGATCTCAATGATCTGTACAATTCAATATGGGACGCTGGGCCCGGTTCCCAGCATGTGCTGCTCCCCACGAATAGACTGGAGCACTTGTTAAAAAAAAAAAAAAAAGCTGGTTTATCTCTCCCTATACCTCAACGAGAGGGAACAGATTTTTCCACACTGTCAGGGGCAGTCCTCAATGAAGGTTATGGACGCTCATCAAGGCCCTTAAGGCCCCACCTCCTCCTCAGAGGAGGCAGAGTCAGAGAAACTCTCATAACTCTCTATGTATACAATGCAGTGGGCAAGGGACGCTGAACCCCGTTTCCAGCAGGACCGAGCAGGTGCAGCTCCCCACCAATGGACCGGAGCCGTCATCGTGCAGGGACCTGCTCCTGGAGGCTGCTCTTACCACCTTCGCCGAAAAGAAAAACAAAAAGGAATAAAGCAGTGACGCCAAGGCTTTCACCAAGCAAAGCCAAGCCTACGTGTTCTTCTCTGCTTCAGACTATGTGATTATGTATGGCATCAAGAATGTTTAACAACAACATCACGCGATCGACTGGAGGAGCGGTGGAGATGTGGCGAGAGGGATGTGATGGACGACAACGACGACAAGGACGAGGGCGTGAAGGGAAGCTTCGAGGTCAATAACGACAACAATAATAAAGACAATACAAACAACAACAATAACAACGGGGATGCTGACTGTGGGAACTGTGTGGTTGACTGCAACAACGACGCTATTGACGATGTCATCAACAACAACATTGACAACAACATCATTGATGGCTACAACAACAGCAACAGCGACAGCGACAACGACAACAAGAACAACAGTGACAACGACAACAATAATGACAGCAACAACAACAACAATAACCACGATGAAGGGGGCGATGACCAAGGAAGTAGCGGGGTGGGAGATGGTATCCATGCATCGGAGATTATCATTAGCATCACAGGGTTGATGCTGAAAGCGGACGGGGTGGGATATGGGCTTGATAAGGTGATGTGGTTTTCGATGCCCGCCCCCCCCAACTTAGATACGGAACTCGTCCGTGTGATTCGGCAGAGGGTAGGGGTGGGATAGCTGGAGGTGTTCGATGTTGCCCGGCCTGCGATATCGAGGGATTTTTTTAAGGCCCGTGTGCAAGGCCTCTGTCCTGGTGGTGGTAAGAGAACCACCGGGATTGAGGCTTTGCCTGGCGGGCCGCTCCATCTATTGGTGGGGAGCATCACCTGCTGGAAACCGGGTCCAGCGTCCCTTGAATACATCAATGTAATACAGTACATCATTGAAAGTGGCGCCATTCTGCTGGAAACCGGGTCCAGCATCCCATATCCAATCCACACTTCCAATCCTAACCTGCAGCAAGGCCGGGTTGTGTGGGGGGGGAGTCACTGGGGGGCACCAGTGAAGTCTCCCTCCATCCCCCGGCCCCTGCCATCCACCAACTATCCTCAGGGCGCCTGAACAGCAAAAATCAGCTGTGAAGCAGTGAAACCAGAGCAGAAGGAACAGAAAAAGAAACAAAAGCAGAACCAGAAAAAACAGGAGCGATCTGCCGGGTCTGCTACAAGTATAATATACAGCAAAAATCAGCAGTACATACAGAAACAGCAGTGATCTGCTAGGTCTGCTACAAGTATAATATGCCAACCAACGCCCAGGCTTATGATAATGACAGTGTTTCTACCAAGGACAGCGGGTGGGGGGGGAAGGGGTCTGCGAAGTCCTGCGCTGGTCGTAGCCGGTCGTCGGGGTCCACCTTGATCCAGTCATGAAAAGTCAGCTGGTAATCTCTTGCTATTCCCTCCCGGAGTTCCTCCTGTGGTTCCTCTTCAGGTCGACAATCCCCACACCATTTTACCTCAGCCACCCGTCCCTCCCTCTCCCCTCCCAGCCAGTCTCTGCAGAAACGGGATATAATCCTGTTCATGTCCCCCCAAGTGTATGATTGATCAAGTCTGTCTTTAGCTAATTTCCATTGGGATGCAATTTCATGTTGGACCAATGTTCGCACTTGTTCCATAGCTTCCCTGTCATCTACACGCGCCTTCTCTATCTCAAGGATACATCGTCTCCACCATATGGTCCATAGAATGCTTCGCCTACCCAATTTGAACATATTTTCCACAAATGCATTTTTCGGGAGTTGAGGGAAATACCCTTAGAGTATGGCCCTCCAGTCCCAAGGCCATGCCGCGCCGGGAACAATATGTCTCCAGATCCGGTCCCAACTTCTCCATAGTAGTACTGACGCGGGACATTGGAGAAAGATGTGTTCAATGGTCTTCGCTCGTCTCATCCCGGGGAAGCCCTGAAGACATTTGTGGCACCATGGCAATGCTTTCCCTTGTTGCTCTAGATACGTGTGGTCTATCAGCCAGTCATTGGTTGGTAGACATCTGTGTTCTATTTGTCATTGGAGGGCCGAAATTTTGGCGGGTCTGCAGCTATAGTGGGCAAACCATCGGATAGGTTTGAGCAAGCCGCGGTCTATGTTAAGATGACGATACCGTCTGTCTTCCACTTGGTCCCGCAGTCTGCGTTTAGGTCTGAGCATCCGGTAGGCTGATTTAGTTTTAAGGCTAAGAAGTGTCAGCGTGTTTGCTTCTCCTCTCCTGGCCCGGTTGTCTTGACTCCATCGCCACTCGTGTGGGTCTAATGGGAGGTCCTCGATCGGGATCATAGGGCGGTACGCCCTCTGGAGGTATCCCTCCTCCATGACCCTGATGCGGTACACCACCTTTCGCTCTTTCCATGTGAAGGGTTGTTGATTCCACTGTAATTTATCGCCCTTTTGGAGAGAGAAGACTTCAAGTAGCACATGTGTTGGATTCGTAAGGTGCACACGCCCCACCTCCCTCTCAAGGTCAGGTATCCCCACCCAATCTCCTTCCTTTATGCAGGGGCCTTTTCTGAGGGTGGTGTACCAATGAAGTGGGAAGCTCTCAATAAGCTCGTTGAATGCTTTCTCGGTGTGGTGACAATACCGCAACCATGTGCATATCCTTTCTATGTTCTTCCAGCTTCCCGTCTCTTTATCCCAAAGGTCCCCAACCCTTCGCAACCCATGTCTCACCCAACCTTTCCACAGGGCATCCGAGTTGTTCCGCACACGCCCCCTAGAGTCTGTTATTAGGCGGTTGTCGAAAAGGGGTTGCCTGAATATTTCTTACCACCTTTCTGGTACTGGTCGCAGTGGGGGAAGGAGTTTCCTCCATGTGCGTATAAGGCGCACCCACTGTCTATCGGTTGGGTACCCATTCCTATATTTCCTTGGTATCCTCCAGTACCTATCTTCAAGCCATATACATGGGTCAATCTCTGGTGGGGTTCTTGGGGCCAGGTCAGAAATTTGTGCCAGGGCTAGGGGAACCCATACTAGGGAGAATGAAGAGAAGACAATATGTTGTAGCCAGCGGATTGTGAGGGTCTGGCATTGTGTAGTCGGGTCTACAATCCCAATTCCTCCTCTACTTTTGGGCTGAATCACGGAGTCTCATGCCACCCGGCTTATGGCGTGAGCTTTGTTACTGCCGCCTCTCCAGAGGAAAGCTGCGAGCTGTTGTCTTAGTGCCTTAAGGCCTCCT